TCGTCCGAAAACACAGAAAACGAAGCCACAGAGAATATTCAAGCGCAGGCTGCGCGGCTGACATACAGACCTCAACCTGCTGACCGTGAGAACATCCCCCGTCTTCTCTGCGCTTCGTCACCAACGTCCTACACGCGCTGGCGCCCGCATTCAGGAGACGAGGGAAAACCCAGATGCTTACTTACACCCACCTAGCAACCCCCTTCCTCCCCCGCTCCCAACCTGACGAGCATATAAACGCTGCAATTAACTTACCATTTTTATCCTTCATGTCACTGTACCGGCCTGATGCTGAATGACCGAAAACAATTGTTTGCCAATATGACATTGACTTTAGACACTTCCAGTATAATCGGGAATGTAACCAGTCTAGCGCATGGAATGTTGCCAACAACTGTAACTAGCATCGTAATTGCTCCGCTTTTAATCGAAAAAATGAACTATTAAAAAAGAACTGACCTTAGTAAAGGAAAAAAATACTTGAAGATGACGGAAGCGATTTTAGGCGTGTGGATAATGACACGTTAAGGCGCAAAGCCGAAGGCAAGTAGTAGCATAGGCAACAACGTTGGTACCGTAAAAAAAAGATGCGTTTGAGAATTCATAGGTGAGATGCCCTTCAACAGTGGGGCTCAGGAGAGTCAGCCCATTGTCTGCTGTTCAAAGAGGTTTTCGGCGCCTAAAATTATGGTTGTTCTACGAACAAATTGCACTTTTTGAGAGATGGATGACTATGTTCGTACTTAATCTGAAGCTGAGTGCATACGGAAGATGGACAGCAGCCTCCTATGCATGCCCTGCCCTGAGTGACAGTGAACTTTTTTTGCACTTTAAAGAGAATGCGCATAGTAGGCCTTCCCTACTATGCCAAACCTACTAAATAATTGAGGAGAATGTTTTGCACTGTTTAGCTAGGAACCGTGTTTCAATATGCTGTAGGTATCCTATTTTTTCATTCACGTAAACGTGCAACAGGATGACTCTGGAAATATTGAAGTACTCCTTAGAGGACCTCCACGCGATTCGCTCGGTGTAGATCGAAAAATAACCACCAAAAAGTGATTTGAAACGTACTCTGGATGAAGCTAACTCTCACCCGAAGGTGTCCTGGCGAAGTTTACAGAAAACCACGGGGTCTAATCCCGATTACATTTGTACACTGTAACTCACTATCAGTCGAGTTATTTTCTTGGGCAAAGGTAGTTTAAGTAATGCACCTCATATACCCCTAGTCCCGGCATTTATTCCTAGGGAACCAGTGGTTATAGAGGTTTTGGAGGTGGGGAAATAGGATAGGCAGTGAAGGAAATTTGTAGAAGTGGAATCTGGAAACATTTAGTTGAATTTGTTTCCCGCTGCCGCTGGGAGTAAGTTGCTCCGCATGTAAATGGAAGGTGTGCGCGGCACTTCGCGCCGCAAACTATACTAATCTAAGTCCAGAAGAGTAACTTTGACCTCAGGTAAGTTGAAGTAGTCGACCTCCTAACGGTCATTTCTATTTTTCAGGAATTACAAGAAACTTGCATTGTAATAAACAGGTTTTTCCGCAGTACTTTAAACAATAATACAGATTAGAAAAATCTACAGGTATAAATCAACAACATTTCTAAATACAATAAAATAAAAATGCATATAGCAGTCATTAAAGTATATTCCACTGTATATCCTAGGTCCCCACCCATAATACTCCTATGACCACCGTTTCCGTAGGACAAAATACTGAGACTAGGGGTATATGAAGTGCACTACTGAAACTACTGTTGCCTTTTCTTGTTAATGCTTCGTGTTGGTCCAGTTGAAAAAAAACTACGCTTACTTAACACATTTCTAGGACTGTTCCTAAACAAAAAAGCTGAATGACAATTTTGCCTCCTGTATTGTTCGCAACATTTAGTTTTTTTTTCTGAATTGGACTGAATGAGATACTTTGACTTCAGGCACATTCACTATTGTGGGTTGGCTAACCGGCAAAGCCTGTTAACAGTCGCTAAAATTGTCAATAACTCTGAAACTGTTCCCTGTTAATCCTGTTAACCCTAGGTGGCACATTCTGGGGCAAAGCCAAAAAGGAAGTGATTAAAGGAAAAATATATGCACAGTGAAATTCAAAAACATCTTTCTAGTAATTGGTAGCTTAGATGTCCTCCAACAGAAGTTAGAATAGGCCTTATGATAGTCAGCCTACCGGGTATTATTTATCAAGGTTTTCCATACGTTACTGCAGAGTTGACTGGGAAAACGTTTAGTTTTCAGTTTTTGAGAGCCAGACGACCGTCTTATTCCACAGTTAGAGATATCTCAAAAAATAATCATTGTCTTAAGGTCTCACATCGAGGTTGAATTGCCGTCTACCAAATAGAAGCTTGAACTATACGTAGCAAGCGTAGGTATTACCACCCCAGTTTATGTCTATGGTGGCATCTCTATTTGGTAAGACTGGGTTCCACTTCCTGCGATGGTGAAAGTAGAAGAACATCACGG